TCCTCCCTGGACTGACCTATCCCCTTCCTAACTCCCTACCTACACTCACCTTTACTGGCTCCATCCCCGCCTCTTTGACCTGTTTCCTCTCCACCTATCTTCTCCTCTATCCATCTTCTATCCGCCTCCCACTCTCTCCCTATTTATTTCAGAACCCCCTTCCCCTACCCCATTTCTGATGAAAGGTCTAGGACCGAAACGTCAGCCTCTCTGCTCCTATGATGCCGCTTGGCCTGCTGTGTTCATTCAGCCCTGCACCTTGTTGTCTCTGACTGAAATGGTGTCGCTGTCGGTAGAATATAACACCGCTGTAGTCTGTAGGTGGCGCTGTTGCAGGAAAGAACAGTTTCAATCGACGAGCTGAGTGTTGCCGGGAAATGTAGTCCGAGGTGAGACAGCGACTGCAGGTGATACCCTGAGTTTGGAACATCTGGTCCGGGCTTGGAATGAGCTCCAAGAGGGCACGGAGTGACCCGGGAAATGGGGTTGGAGGGAAGAAACAGCTGAAGGAGAGGGAGCTTGCGGAGCTGAACCCATTGCTGTTGGAAACGAAGGAGCGTGTGAGCGAGGCCTGGAGCCGGGGACTCGAGTACTCACATGGTGAGGGGAAGCGAGGGGTTTGCATAACAGCCAAGGGAGGGCAGTAGGCTGGAAAAAGGGGACCTCAGAGAACCGCGGCCGGTGAAACAATTCAAATGCTATCTTAGTTCAGTGGATAGTCTCCTGTGTTGGGCAGAAGACGATGAAGCACAATGCAGAAACAAACACAGAAATTCCTGGAAAAAACTCAGCAGGTCTGGCAGCTTCTGTGCAGAGAAAACAGAATTAACAGTTCGGGTCAAGTGACTTTTTTTGTTTTCGTGTTTAATGTATATGATGCAGTATTGATAGAGTAGTTTATTGGCGGTGTGCTGGCTTTAGATGGCACATTAGCCGTGTTTTTTGTGATCGTAAATTGCGACAGTTTAGCCATCATTGTGCTTCTGATTTTAACAGGAATATCTGAAGTTCGCATGTGTGCAGTTAAATGATGAAATGCACAAGTTTCTGTTCGTGACTTCATTTCCCTGCAGGGTATGTTGTTGAAGTTCCCTGGTTTGAAATCAATGAGTTACTGAACTGACAAATTTTTACTGAATGTCGCTGTAAAAACCTTTGACAAGATTACACGTTGTTGATTCAGATGTCACTGGGCTTGATCTGATCTCCCACGCTCAAATTACTGAACAGCTTCAGTGTCGGTGGAAAATTAATTTTATATTGTAGATTGCCAAATTTCTTTATGTTTAAAGCATTTTATGCTTAAAAAAAGTTTAAAAACTTTGCAGTTTACAGTTATATCCCATCTATGTTTTTCGGTAATTTATTTTGCTCTCAGCAAAGTTTTGATCAAAAGTGAAAATTTGATTTGCATTTTGCATGTTACTTTGCTGTGGATGAGAATACCACTGTCTGATTACCATTCTCAATGATATCACTGCTGGATTTTGGATTTGGCACCAGATTCAGAGTAATGTTGAGAAAGTGGAAAGCCATGCCACACAAGTTACTATGTCTTTGTGGGCAGCTTCCTATGAGGTCAGTAGTGAGTGTTATTGTTTCACTGATAACCATGAAATCCACAGCTTGTGTTCAGTGAAAGTTAGAGCTGACTGCATCGGTTGTGGTAGAGCAGGGAGGTCTACTACTGTTCCATACAGCATTTGTCCCATAAACTCCACAGAAAACGAATACACTGGCCATTTGTGTCTGCGGTATGTTTGAGAGCTTGTTGTGGGAAATACTGTCTGTGACTATATGACAATAGTAACAATACTGTGAAAGTTTATTAATAAAAAAGAAACAAAGTTTTGAATGGGAACAATTCAAGATATAATTGGTGAACACTCAAATGTGTGGGTTAATGAAGGGCAATCAGGATGGAGTGGTCAAAAGAATGTCATCTTTTACAAATTTAATAGGATTTTAGTTTGCACAGATAGCTGGATGGAGAAAGGAATACGTTAAAATCAGTGTCTGGATTTTTCAAAAGGCATTTGTTAAGTTGTCTTACAAAATGGCTTGCCAGAAAACATCAAGTGTTTCATGAGGAAACGTAATTGAGCTTCAAAATCTAGCAACATGGACAAAAAGTTTAGTGGGTAGACAGGAAGACAGAAGTTAGAGAAAATGGATGTTACCTATCAATATGTACTTTGGCAGGTTAGTGGTTTCTTCACGCCTCAAAGAAACAAAGTTTAAGGCATACAATTCAGGGATGGATTTATGTTCATTTATGGTTGATTTCTGTATTGATAGTAGAATTGCTGAGAAGCAAGCTCTGCTATAATCTTGTCACAAAGATTACAGTATGGATCTGGCATCTGCTTTTCAATTGCCTTTGGAGAGAAGTGGTATGAAGTTTTCCAGACGTTGGGTTAAATAATTGGGTGCAACCCTTCTGTCAAACCTATGTCATAAAGTGCACAAGAAGCCTATTGGACTTCTTGAACATATTTTAAATTTGGGTATATTTGATTTAAAGGCAAAGGGAGTGTAAATGAACTAACTTCCACAATCTGTGCATTCAAACACAAATGGTCAGAAAGAGAGCTCAGCATATCTAGCCTGGAAAATTCCCGTCAAACCAGGCAGTATAAATGAGAGAATACCAGTGTAATGGTGTACAAATATTTCTTCTTCAAAGTCTTTAAGGGTCTGGCAATTTAATTTATATTTTATTTTTGCAGATGCCTAATGCTAACAATATACTATGTTTCTATAATTTATTGTAGCAAAACTGCTCCTTGCCAAGGTACTAACTGGAATCTTTGTTCCTGTCTTTACAGAGAAGGGTCTCGTAGTGGGCACACAGCCATTTGCACATTGTGTGATATCAAATTTTATCCAGAGTCAAAAATTCCTGGAGGGTCTTCAGAATGAGCTTCTACAGCTGAACTTCTATGAAAAATCAAACGATCTCTATAAATTCAAGCAGGTAAGAAGGAGATTGTGCGAAACAAATGTTTGGGAGCAGAGAGATAGCAAATGGGCAGGAAATTTTGATAATTTGCACAACAATCAGACTGGGCCATGGAGTTAATGGTTCCATTATTTGCTGACTGTATTGAGTGAAAGGACCACATGATTCTATGACTATTTAGAAGTAATGAAAGCTCAGAGATTTTCTGTATGGCAGAAGGATCAGATACCGCGGTATAATGAAGGACTCGAGTGGAGTGGGCACATTGAAGTAATAAAGTGAGATGAAGGAGAGAATTGATTAATTTGCATTTATGTAATGCCTTTTCACAATCTCCGAAGATCTTGAAGCCTTTTATAGCCACTAAAACTTTTGAAGCGCAGTCACTGTTGTAATATCGGGAGGTCTTTGTGCAGCAATATTCTTGCAATGATGTAGATGAGGATATCACAGTAGAGTGCAAACCCTGGAGTAGCATTAGGTATGGTGATCTTTGTTCAGTAGACATGCACGAATAACATAGAATGAGGTGATTGGATGTTAAAACAGCCTTTCCATAATGATGTACAACAAACAAATTACCTGTTCAATCTATCCATCTACAACTGCATTTTCTCTAACTTCTGTCTTCCTGTCTACCCACTAAACTTTTTGTCCATGTTGCTAGATTTTGAAGCTCAATTACGTTTCCTCATGAAATACTTGATGTTTTCTGGCAAGCCATTTTGTAAGACAACTTAACAAATGCTTTTTGAAAAATCCAGACACTGATCTTAACGTATTCCTTTCTCCATCCAGCTATCTGTGCAAACTAAAATCCTATTAAATTTGTAAAAGATGACATTCTTTTGACCACTCCATCCTGATTGCCCTTCATTAACCCACACATTTGAGTGTTCACCAATTATATCTTGAATTGTTCCCATTCAAAACTTTGTTTCTTTTTTATTAATAAACTTTCACAGTATTGTCACTATTGTCATATAGTCACAGACAACATTTCCCACAACAAGCTCTCAAACATACCGCAGACACAAATGGCCAGTGTATTCGTTTTCTGTGGAGTTTATAATCTCCTAGGGCAGATTGTAGATTGTGGGATTTTTTAATATTTGCATATGCATCAGTATATTTTGCAGAAACTGGGCAGAAAAATCCACAATGAATCTCCAAATCGTGATGTCTGAAATGGCTGTCTGTAAACATTGGTGAGATGTGATTCTGAACGTAAATTTTCATTCAGTGTTGACAGAGTGAGATTGTACATGTGCACATTCATAACTAATTGAGTTCCAGATATAGGTAATAAGGAGAGGTACAAGATTTTCAGGCAGAAAGAATATGTTGAGGTTTTAGACATAAATAATGTGTTCCATTCCTCTGACAGTCTGATGACCTTCGGAAGAAGAAAGAATATCACATCTCAGCATTAAGGTGAGTCACTGGGAACATCTTTTCCAAGCTTGCTCAGGGGACAATTTGAACCAGGTTATTGGACTGAAATGCAGTGTGTTTTCAAACAAGTTTTCCTTGTTGCAGCACAGATTTTATGTTGAACGGTCATGGGTATGCTTTGTACATGTTGTGGGAGCTGGTGTGGAAGTGAATTTGACGCCACTGAGAGTGGGCTGCTGCTGCACAATTGGGTGAAATGTCATAAGAAATAACCTAGTTGGAAGAGTTAATGGCAGGAAGTAAACTATTTTTGATAAAGCTTTAAGGAGCAAGTTGATTTCAGCCATGTTAATGGACAGAAACCTAGTTATTGTTGCTTTTATTTGGTTTTGATTTTTGCAAGCAGCTGTTTCTTCAGTGCAAACTCTTTGAATCACTTCCAATATGTTTTCTGCCTTTTTCCAAAAATGTTTTCTCCTTTAGCCTTATGCACCAGGCACTTACTCTGGCTCAGATTGAATAATATAATCCTTAATTTTCATATTTATTTATATTAATCTTACACTCCATGCTGTTAGTAACTGTTCCAGCCCCATACACTACTTTGATCTCCACAAAATGTTTTCTCTCAGACCCTCAATTAACTTTGCTTTTTGAAACATTCACTGGTCCCTTCAATGCCTGATTACATTATGTTTCCTCCAACAATGCCAGTGAGAAAACTGTCCATAATGTGTAATAATAGAAGAGAAATTCCTTTGGACTTACTCCAGAAATATTTTGAATGACTATAGAGTTTGTATCTCATTGCCATTGCTTTACACAATACAAGAACTTCAAAATGTATCTGTTTTTCTCTTTGTAGGAAGGTTCTGTTTGAAGATTTTCGTACATGGTTATCAGATGTTATTGGTATAAAACTAGAAAGCACGGTCGATTTATCCTGTGCTAAATATGAATACACAGGTATACAAAATTCAGTAAATAGCGTTTTACACTGAGTGTATTTGATATATATTATTTTACTGGGTGTTGTCATTTTTACAACATGGAGACAGATAGCCAAACCAAATCTGCCTTTCCACCTCTCCATTTACAACAGTGTCAAATTGAAACCTTCAAAGATCCTCAAAATTGAGCCCAGTAGTTCCCAGAGTTTTAGAGTCTCACGGTTGTACAGCACAGAAATAGACCCTTCGACCAACTCGTCCATGCTGACCAGATATCCTAAATTGCTCCATTTACCAGCATTTGGCCCATATCCCTCTAGACACCACCTTTTTTTCATGTATCCATCTAGATGCCTTTTAAATGTTGTTATTGTACCAGTCTCCACCACTTCCTCTGACACCTCATTCTAAACACGCACCACCCTCTGCTTGAAAAAGTTCCTAGAGGTCCCTTTTAAACCTTTCCCCTCTCAGCTTAAACCTATGCCCTCTCGTTTTGGACTCCCCTACCCTGGGAAAGAGACAATGGTCATTCATCTGATCAATGTTCATCATGATTTTATAATTTTCGAGGAACCAATCCCATGTTAGCAAATGATCAATTTCAGGCACCAGGCGTGCCTTCAACAAAAGGCTTCACAATTTATTAACAACATAGTAACTTTAGTCGAGCAAAATTAAGCAATAGAGTAACCTAATTTGTTTATCCTATGAGCCAAAGATCCTTTGTTTTCAGCCCCAATCACGCAAAGGGCAAACCCATTTATGGGACAAATAAAACCAGATCAAAAAACTGGCCAAATTACATAAATGGTTTCGATAATGGTTCCACAAGCATACATGATATTTTCTTGGTTGATTTTCTGAAGATGCCGATCAGGTTCAGTTTTTCAGTTCACTCAGATAAAGTCAGTAATACTTTAAACTTAGTTTTCTGTCCTCTGAGCTTCCATGAACTGTTCGTAGGAGATTAGGCAGTGAGCTTTTAAATCTTTGTGCTGTATTATCAACAGCCAGATTCCTTTCCACAGAAAAACCAAAAGTCCAGAACGCAATTCAAAGTCTGATCACTCCCTGCCTGACTGACTTTTCCATCCGGTCCCAGATACCATATCTGCTATCTGCTTGAAGATAAGGTCTTTTCCAGATTGCTGGAATCAATTGCCAGGTACTGACCTTGTTAATAGCCAATCTCTGCTCCCTCTTTAAACATAATGCTCTTCCGCGGTGACAATGAATCTGCAGAACCTTTTCCTCAGGAACAAAATTGCAGTTAACTTCCAGGCATGGCCTCATGAATAAACAAGATCTTGTTTGGTCTGTTTTCCTTTTAACGCAAGCTGTGATCCCACAGTCAAAAGTCATCTCATAGTTTCCAGCTCCAAACCAAAACTTATAAAAGAATAAAAATAAGGTAACGAAAACTCGGTGAGAGTTCTAACAGTGTGTATGCTTGCATTATTGTGCATGCGATGTCACAAAGGCATTGTTTTATTGCACTGTGCCATTGCAGATGTGCCATTGCAGATGTGACATTTCATTTATACTGTAGTAGGAACAGGGAGCATTACATAAATGGTGTGAGGTTGGAGATATGTGCAATTTCTCTGCGTGTCCACTCCACATTAGAATTTTTGGAAGGCTCTTTGCTCCTTCCTTCAAAGGAGGCCTCACAGTTACCACTCTACAACAACTACCAACATCCTTCACCTGGCTGAAGTCATTCTCTCTTTGAACAATTTCTCCTTTAACTTGTCTCACTTCTCCAAGTCAAAGGCTGTTGGTACCTGCATGGTCACAGTTATGCCTATCCCTTTGGCATATGCGGAACATTCCTTGCTCTAGTCCCCTTTCACAAGTCAGTGCTGCTTCCTTCTGTCATCTGGAATTGGAAAATTTAATCAAATTTGCTTACAATTTCCATCCTTTTCTGTTCTTTGTGACTCTTTCCCTCCCATCCCTGATTTCTCTAATTCCATTTCTCAGGATAGGCTGGTCACTAATATTCAGCATGAACCTACTGATTCCCACAGTTAACTTGACTACATTTCCCTCTCACGTTGCTTCCTCTAAGAACCACATTCCATTCTCTCAGTTTCTCCATCTCTGTTGGATCTATACTGCTGATACCACATTCTACAGGGATGTGTCTGATGTATCCTCCTTTTTCTTCAACTGGGGATTTCCTGTCACTTTGGTTGTTGGGGGTCTTCAGCCACACCTGACCCATTTCCTACAATTTTTCCCTCATCCCTTGCACTCCCTTCTCGAACAATGGTAACAATTCCCTTTGTCCTCACTTTCCACCCTGCTAGCTTTTCCATTCAAACGATCATCCTTCTCCAGTAGGATGCTATCAGCAAACACATCTTGCCCTCTCCTTCCTTGTCAAGATTCTACAGGGACCACAACCTCCATGACATCTGGCCTAACACTCCCTTACACCACCCCGATGCATTTGCAGACGGTCTAATATGGCCTTTACCATCGTACTGTCCAAGGTTCCCAAACACTTCAACGAGGTGAAGCAGCATAAAGACTTGTAATTCTTTTAATTTATCTATTCGATTAACTGCTCACAATGTGGCCTTCCCTAAATTGTCAATACTATACATATATTGCATGTCCACTTTGTGGAACACCTTCGCTCTGTCGTTAACAATGACAGCAACATTCCAGTTCCTTGCCATTTCAATGCACCAACTTGCTAGCATGCTAACATTTCTGATGTAGGCTTGCTGCAATGCTCTAGTGTCACCCTATTTGAGTTGGAAGGACAGCGCCTCATTTTCTATTGGGTACTTTACAGCCTTTTGTTATTGCTTGAATGAGTATAGCTGATCAAGACAGTCTGAGCCTTCTCTGTTTTGTTGTCCACTAAACCCAGAACAAGGCTGCATTTGATGTTATGTCAAAGGATTCTCAGCATGGACCAGTTTGGGCTGAAGGGCCTGTTTCCATGCTGTATCACTCTATGACTCTATGTACTTTTTTAGTAATACAACACAACTCAACTATACACTGGAATATTGGCATGGAATATACTGGAGTGAGACCTGGTCTTATAACTTAAATCACAAGAAATGATTATTGTCAAGTAGGCTGAACTGATGTTGTTTTTTGTTGAAATTTCCGTAGGAATGCTCAGATTTCCTGTTAAGGCTGATGTGGAAGTATATGCATCCGCCAGCTTTGGGTGCTGACCCATGTTTTCCACAAAATGTTCTTTCTCACATGAAACAGGATATGAGATGAAGGTTAAGTCACCATAGCCCTCTGATCATAGTCTGCTCTCTCAAAGGGAGATAACTAGTCGTGATTTAACCTGAGGGTTGTCATGCTTCAGGTGACAGGAAAGTTGAGAAGGAGGGTTATTTGTGGTAACCTTAATTGGTGTGGAAATTTGAACCCACACTGATTGTGTCACTCTGTTAAACTGAAAAAGAAAAGCTTAAGCTGTGCTGAAATTTAAACCGATGCTGTTACAGATGTGTTGCTCTGTCACGATGATGAATTAGAAGGACGGAGGATAGCATTCATCCTGTATCTTGTTCCTGAATGGGGAACAAGGGATGGTGGAAACTTGGACCTCTATGGTGCAGATGGTGAGTAGGATTAACTGAATATAATTGCATGTTCCAACTTTAACCCTGACTCATCAATGCCTCCATCCCAGAAATGTTTATCTGACTGCCATCGGAATTCTGGCTTTCAGTTTTATATTCGACTTAAAGGCAGTTGTTGAGATTTGTAAATTTGTGGATATCCTGGGACTGAAAGCTCGGCGTAACCATTATGTTACCACAATGCACCCGTGCAAATGCAAGGAATATGAATTGATACTTTTGGTAGTATTTGAGGTCTTTATGAACAGTGAAGTTACATCAGGATAAATGGATCTTATGGGTCTTGGGTAAGCTTCTAATGGAATTCAGAACTGGAGGCTCAGATATTCTCATGACCAGAGAGTTGCTGGAAGCAGAGTGGATTGAGATGCGCATTAGGACCTTGCAGAATTCCAGTTGCAGCATAATCCATGAGAATTATCTAGCAGACTGAAGATTCCGATTGGCAATTCCCCTATGTCTGGAAATCCCTGAAAGAGTATTAACATCAGAGAGTTTAGGGGATTCAAAATTAGTTATAATAATTACCTATGAAAGTTAGAGGATGAAAGACCTACTCTAACTCCTGGGTAAGTATTAAATTGATTCCCTGATTCAATACTCAACCATCTCCCGTCCACCACCCCAATCCCTGTCAACATCACTTCCTTACACCATCCTGGCGAGCACCTCTGGCCTGAAAGCCCAGAATCTCACCTTCAATTGGCTTGAAGTCTCAGACCTGACATACTGTGCTACCAGCCTGACTCTCCCACAACCTCCTCGCTGGGTTGCACCTCTAGGACCTGATCTGAAGCTCTTGGACCCGACACCCACTCCTGACTGTTGGCCTGATACCCCCAGACCCAATAGCCCTTCCCTATGGTGGTCAGAACCCATCAGGACCTGACACCCAGCATCTGCCTCTGATGACTGCTAGGATCTGATCCTCCTTCCCCCCGCCTTCAGATGTCACCCTGTGCTCCCCTGCTACTGGACCAAACACTTGCTCACCCTCTGGTCTGACCCATCCTCCTGCCACTGGACCTCACTGTCCTCTTTTCTCCCCCCCGCCCCACCAACCCTTGTTTCTGCCACCACAACCACGAACACCAACCTAACCTAAGCATTCCATTGCCTGCATGGTACCCTACCATTAACCGACTGCCCCCTTAACTCCACGCTTGCTTTACATTCTCTCTCTTTAACGGCAGTTGTTTCAGTGGCTGGACAGAATACTAATTGTTGCAAGTGGGACATGGCTTTTATAAAGGTTTACTTTGCTCATCGATTCATGGATTTCTGGTCAGACTGGAGGTCCCGTCCAGGAATTTCCAGCTTGGAAACCATCTAAACATATCTTAATGAGGTCAAATCCAACCAGGAGTGGAAATATATTTTCTGACCATGTGGAGAATATCTGGGCCAATATGACTATTGTGACAGAAAGAATTAAATTGAGACAATGCAAAATGTTTGCATTACGTAAACAGGGGAATCACATGCAGGGTGTCCAGAATGCCACTGTCTGTGCACAAGAGATTCTGTCAGAAACCTCTCTTTTATTTTGTATGTAGTTCTGGCCTTCTGCCACTAACTGAGGGGAGATTTATGATTGAAAAACTAGAATAGAATTCGGTCAAATCGCCTGAAATCCAACTTAAATCTCAATTCTGCATTATGGATGAAAATTTCCAGCACCTGATGCAGATATAGACGATGCGTAGATTGATTTGTCTTTATTTCTCTTGCAGTCTCAAATTCAAGGTTAGTGCAGAATTGGAGGTGGTGGAGGGCAGAAGTTTTTGTCTCATGACTCAATTGTGAGATGGACATAAAATTGCATTAAAGTTTATAAATAGCAATTAAATAAATTTACCCTACGTTTATGAGTCTGAGTTTTAGCCTTATGATCACGCAACTGAATTAATTGTCTTTTACAGATCATTATCAGCCTCAGCAGATTGTCAAATCTCTAACTCCTTCATGGAACACATTAGTTTTCTTTGAGGTTTCCCCTGTGTCTCACCATCAGGTATGGATCTAACAATATTTATGATAATCTGCGTGATGACAATTTGTGGTGATATTGTGCATCATAATATGGAGACTATTTATTTCTTGTTTACAGTTACATTGAAGGATGTTTCTGCAAAGTGTTTTCGTTTTGGAATACTTCTTGAGTGCCTGTAATGTTATGAAAGTGGGTTTCCCAATGTGAATCCCTTTATGTGAGAAGAATGGGGATAAAGGAATGCCAGAGACTTAATGAGGCAGTCAGTTCATAGGCAGAAGCACATTCTTTGCATGCAGTAATTGTGTAGGACTGACTACATACATGCTGGGTCGATAGACAGCCAGAATAAAGTTATACCAGATGTTGCAGCAGTGGTTAATTGTCCCCTTGGATGTTTTTACTCATTCAAGACATGTTGCAGTTCTCATCTGGGGAAACGTGCCCTGGAGTAGAAAGCATGCTTTCCCTTCTCACTTCACCTGATGAAGGAGCACTTCAAAAGCTTGTGATTTCAAATAAACCTGTTGGACTATAACCTGGTGTTGTGTGACTTCTGACCTTTCCCCTTCTCACTGTTGGCTCCTTTTTGTCCCACTTCTACTTGACCACCCATTAATCAGGGTTGGATATCCAAAATCCAGCTCAGTGGAACTCTTTCATCTGTAAATGGAGGTTTAAAATTTGGTTGGATCTATTCCCTTACAGATAGAACTAGATAAACATTGCAGCACCGGAAGATCTATTCAGCCCATAGTTTACATATCAGCAAACTGGTCATCCAATCTAATCCCTCTTTCCAGCACATGGTCCATAGTCTTGCAGGTTGCAGTGCTTCTTGTGCAGATCGAAATTCCTTGTAAATGAGCTGAGGTTTTCCCCTTCAACTACTGGAACTGGGCAGCAAATTCCAAACACTTATAATCAAGTTATCACTTATTTCCTAATGCGCACTTTCATCCTTCTAACAATCACTTTAGGTCTGTGTTAGCTGGTAAATTTCCTCTCTGCTCAGGGATTCGGGTCTTTCTTGTCCATGTTAACAAAACCCCTCAATATTTTATACACCCCATTTAAGTCAGCGTTCAGCTTTCTCTGTTTTAAGGGAAATAATGCTTGCCAATCCAAACTTTTCTTGTAAATGCAAACCCTGACAGCATTTTTGTAAATTTCCTCTGTGCTCTCAACAGAGCAATTATTCTCTTCCTGTAAGAGCTGTCCGCAAATTTCCAGATGTGGCCTGACCAGTGTCTTAAATAGTTCCAGCATTACATCCCTGCTTTTGTATTCAGTACCTTGTGCAATAAAGGAAAGCCTTCCTTATGCTTTCTTTACCACCTTATCTACCTGCCCTGCCACTTTTGGGGCTCAGTTGACATGCATTCCAAGATCTTACACTTCCTTTTCCCCTCTCAGCACCTTCCCATTCATTTACTTGCTGTGTTTGCCTTCACCAAATGCATGCACTCATAGTCCTGTGGATTGAATTCTATTTGCTACATTTCCTGCCACTTGACCAAACTGTTGATATCACTGTTTAGTTGACAATCATCCTCTTCACTACCTGGCAACTATTATGTTGTCTGCATTTTCCCATCATGTGTCCCTTCTTTGAATCTGTCATTAACATATGTCACAAACAGCGACACTGAACCCTATGGAACAAAATTGGAAATCGTTTTACATTCCCAATGCATCTGTTAATCATTGTTTTCTACCACTGAGTTAATTTTGGATCCAAATCACCACATTCCTCTGTTTCTGATGGAATTGAATTTTTCTGACCTATGTGCTATTTAGGACTGTCAAATACCATGCTCAGATTCACTCGCTGCACTATCCTCATCCAACCTCCTTGTTATGCCTTCAAAAAATTCAATTAAATTAGTAAGAAGCAATTTTCTCTTAACAAAATCATGCTGACTATTACTGATTAATATGTGCCTTTCCAAGTAACAGTTAGTGCTATCTCACAATGTGCATTATAGTAATTTGCCTGTCACTAAGGTCAGACTACCTGATCAATAATTATTTGTTCTCACTGAATAATAATAGAGCAATGTTCACAGACTCGAATCCTCTGATATCTTGCCTGCATCTAGTGAAGTTTAGTAAATGATCTTCCAAGCATCTGGTACTTCCTTCCTGTTTCCTTTAACAGCCTAAGTTCCTTTTAATCCTGGTAATTTGTCTACTTAACTGGAATTTCTGCATCCTTCCTCTCCTTTATGAAGTCAGGGACAAAATACTCACGAAGATCAATGCCCACATCTTCTGCATCCATGCAAAAGTTATCATATGCATTTCTGATGACCCTAACTCTTTCCTTTGCCATCCTCTTCTCTAAATGTGCCAATAAAGCATCTTTAGATTTTCTGTGACTATGACCTTGTTGGGTTTGAATAGCAATATATACTGCCACTTGACACTATAAGTGTGATATGTAGCTTTTGCACTGGTTTGGTTACTGTGTCTAATAGCAAGGTATTTTAGATATTGCCACCGTTTTATTTCTTGTGTGGGAGGGTTTGCGATTTGCAAAAACATTCATTGTTGTCATGAGAATTAATTAGGCAGCATACATTGTTTTCTTAGTGCAGTGCTTAGAATATTTGGCCAAGTTTTACAATTTGATGCTGTGCTACAAATATTACCTAATCAGGTGTCTGAAGTTCTGTCGGAGCAGAAGTGTCGCCTCTCTGTTAGTGGCTGGTTCCATGGGCCATCATTGGAGAGGCCAGCTCGTTACATCGAACCTCTTTCTAATCGATATCGACATGTTGCAAGTGATGTAAGTGCAGATTTGACTATCCTGGTCACAACCAGCATACTTAAGTTTCAGTCTGATTAAAATAACATGCTTTTGGGGAATGGGAGCTGAATGCTGCTGTGAAATATATTGTTATTTCAAATCCAAGACGAGGGGGTTTCAATTCCGTACAAGGCAGATGAGATGCAAAATCCATGTATCATTGTGTCTAAAATTCCCATTTAGCCATCATCCACATGCTTTGGTGGAGAGACTTGCATAATTCTGCTGTCCTTTGTATGAAAAACTGTTTCCTAATTTTCCTCCTAAATAGACTCGCTTTAATTTTAAATTATGACTTTATTCTTGATTTCCTTCACAAGAGGAAATAGTTTTTCTTTACAAATCCATTTCACCTTTTCAAGCGTCTCAATCAGATCACCCTTCAGTCTTCTATGCTCCAGGGAATCCAAGTCATCTTTATGCAACTGTCCTCAAAATGTAATCCTATAAACCCAGTGATCTCGTGGTAAATTATAATACATACAGTTGGTTCCGATATAATGTGTGTTTCCTCAATGTGAATTGGCTTTAATGCGATTGAAGAATTTAGACCTCTATTTGTAGAACGCAAACTTTCCTTACCTGTATTGGCTATAACGCAATTGCAGCCCCATTATTTTAAATGGCATGGCTGTTGCATGATTTTCTTGTAATGTGAGGTCGCACAAGAATGGAACTATCGCATCATATCAGAACCAACTATATTCCAATTTTTGAGCTTGAGAAGCAACCTAATCCTGAGCCAGTAGGAATGTCCCAGATTTGCCTCAGCACAGCTTGTTGGATCTTGCATTTTAATTTAGAATTTGAAGATTCATTGAGGAACCTCCACCTCAGTGCTTTCCAAAGAGGGACCTGTGACCCCATAATGGCCTGATGCAGTGAATAGCTGTGAGGAAACTGCAAATCCATGCATTTTATCAAACTGTTTTCATGTTCTCAATTACTCAAGCTTGAGGCCTGGCTCCTGCAGTAGTAAAAATGGGAGGTGTACACACCTTTTTAATGGTGGAAATTCTCTTTGTAACCCCCTCAAATCCATACTTGCTGCTCCTACTGTCCACACCCTCGCTCTGACAGATACCTCATAACTCCTTACCTCTTACAAGTGTTCTCCCCAACTGCTCTTGTATGTCTGCCACTACCATTCCAACAGATCTTGCCTGCCCTCAACAATATAACATTCTCACAGTTTCCACTGAGGTGTCACAATCATTTTCCAGCAAATACTATACGTTAGTAACTTATTTTAGCCCTCTTTGCTAACCAACAATGTGGGATCTGTATGCCAGCGATCATTGCTTATTTGAGTCCTTTTAATTGCTGCATTCTTAACATTATCTCACTTGGGCCTCAGCCATCATGAGTTGGAACCAGCAACTGATTACAACCTAGTGCAATGCCCAACTTCAATTACAAGAAACTTTTGAAACATTTTATTAATAACAAGAAATGATCTAATTATTCAATAATTAAAGCACTTCCACTGTGGTCTCGTATGAGTGTCTTATTAATTTGTGAAAAGCTCTGGAACATCTCACGAGTAGGCTGAGTTATGGTGCAGAAAGAACACCAACAGCAACATTTTATACTGGTATAGCATGTTAAAATGATAGAATCCCTACAGTGTGGAAGTAGGCTATTCGGCCCATTGAGTCCACACTGACCCCTCTGAAGAGCATCCTACCCAGGCCTGCCTCTCTCAAACCCTGCATTTCCCATGGCCAATCCACCTAACCTGCACATCTCTGGAAAACCTGGAGGAAACCCCTGCAGATATTGGGAGAATGAGAAAACTCCACACAGACAGTCGCCCAAGGGTGGAATCGAACCCAGGTCTCTAGCACTGTGAAGCAGCAGTGCTAACTGCTGAGCCACTGCGCTGTTCCCTATGTTTAACATTATAAAAAGGCCAAGATGCATCTCGGGAGCATTACAATACAGTGTTAGGACACATAACTAATAATCAAAGTATTAGGTTTTAAGAAATGTCTTAAATCCAGAGGGCCTGATAAAAAGGTGAAGATTTCCAGTGCTTGGGGTAAATACTTACCATTATCACAGAACCAATGCCATCATGGAACCGTGTAGGAAGCTGACGCATTGGGCTGATCTCATCATTGCACTGACACCAATAAGATAAATGTGTTTGCTTCCTTTTATTGTGTTTCAGGAAAAAAATCTTTATGACTGGATCAATCCAATTTACCTCAATGTTTCAACTCAAGCCCATATCCAGGAGGAGTTTGAGGAAGAATCAGAGATACTTCTAAAGAATTTTTTCAAGGTGAAAATTCAGTCCAGGATTGATTTGTTTGTAAAGCAAGAACTCTTTAAAAAATATTCGTGCAGCCTGGATAGGAAAATGGACATGTTTTAGTGATGTTTGCAATGAGGTGAATTCATTTCTTTGTTCAGGTATTGGTGAGAGGTGTCCAGTTGTTTTCATTTTTTAATAATGTTTGTCATGTATAGATGTCATAGATTAATTTAAAAGAATCAACTCCAGTGGGGAAGGTGAGGCTGTTTTTGATCAAACGTTGGCACTGAAATTGGAGAAGAATATATATACTGAAGACTAGTCTGGCATTTGGAAACTAACTGTCCCGTCAAGAAGGTTGCAGTAAACATAATACTGAAGGGAGAAGACTCTTATCCCAGGGTTGTTGAACTGAATGCAGGAGGATTCTTTTGTTCAAGTCAAGCATGGACACCCACTGAAGTACGATTGGGTTTATTTGTTGGTATTATGATTTGAAGCTGCATGGTATGATTTTAGAGTAAGCAAACTTTTTTCAACTTTACTGAATTGCACAGCGTAGCTAAGGTATTTAAAGCAATTTTTGCCTCAGCCAGATTAATTTGGTACATCTTCAGAGAAATTGAAGAAACACACATGTGAAATGTATTCTATTGTTGCAATACTTATTCTTGCACCATAGAACTGATTATTTGATAGTATGAAAAATGTGAAAAGTAATGTGTTCAGATCAATTATAGGAATAAGACCTGACAAAGGGACTGTTGCAGTGTCAATTTGATAAGAAGCTCAACAAATAGTTGTCATTCTTTAAATTGCCATCATAGAGTCAGAGTTGCAAATTATTAAATGTGCTGGTTGTGATCTTCTGCTTCTGTATATCAGTTTATTTAGAAAGAATTTACATTTACACAGAACCTTTCATGATCACAGAATGACCCAAAATATCTCCTGCTGATGAACTATATGCAGTTGATACCATAGATATGAACCAAGCACTGTTCTTGTTTCAGCTTTGTGTCGAAAAGGTGGCTCTGTCCCGGTGGTGCCACAGCCTCCATTATGGCAGGGTAAGGAGGCAGGCAGGGATGGAACCCCACGCTATTGGCACCAGTGGAATCCACACTGAGTGGCTAGCCACCTGACCCACCTGGCCCTCAAAGAGTGTGAGTTGCTGTGACAAAATATATCTTTACATGCGTATTGAATCCAGGACCAATGGATAATGGTTGTCGAGGCTCGAATTTCTTTGTATCACATTGCCTGACCAGAAATGTCATTATTGTTTTACTGCTTGCAATTAGTGTGTATCACAAGAATTAACAAGCTGATGTTCAACTTGTTGTCTCCATTATGAACTTAGCTTCAGTGGCCATCGAGTCCTAGAGTGGATCTTGAACCTGAAATTTCTGTCTTAGAGGCAGTGACTCTAAACATAGTACCACATGACCTCCTTGCTGTGCTATTCAATGGAGTAAATGGTTTATTTTCTACAGTAATGCACCATACATTTGGATTGCCAAGACTATGTTGGCACCCTGTAACAGCTGCATTTTCCTCCGCTTATGCAGAAAGAAAAGTTTCAGATGGTTTGTGAGGCTTTGCAAAGCTCAGAGATTAAGTGGAAGAGAAGAGGACCTGCCAACAAGAGGTGAGTGAATCAGAAGTCTGAGAGCATTAGCACTAATGAACTTCGAGCTGTAAAGTTATTGAAGGCCCAGTTAACCAGCAGTTCATGTTGAGAAAAACATCGGTGGAGCAGATGCAACAGTAAATTTCTGCAACCTTTCACTTTACTAACAAATCCTGGAGATCCAAACCTGGAACAGGAGAGAGCAAAACATTATTGTATGCATGACAGTATGTAAGTACTAAAGCATTAAACGTTTATGTAATTTCAATATCAAACCGTTTTTTTTACTCATGTAAAGTAGATGGGATTCACAGGCCTTGCTGGCAGGTTTGTAATATTGTATGACGGGCTTGCTTTTGATCCTTTCATTCCTCACCACAGTATGAGTGAGGAGTTCTATATAGATGTACAGTTGAGCACTATTTTTATGATGTTGTTGTTGTTGTTACACACTACCTTGCTCTGAATTCTTTTGTATCTTTAACAGATCTGATGGGAAGAAGGCTCAAGCGTTTGCTTACACAGTTGGGTTGTACTGTGGAAATTAGATATATCTCTCCATGTATCTTTTAAAAGAAAAGTCCTATTACTGCATAGTTGTTCATATCATGATTGAGAAACCTTTTATCTTTCCATTTGGTCTGTTATGATAATGTGGTATTCTGGCTTATTTGATAAACCGAGATGAATCACATTGATCTCTGTGAAAATTAAGCTTCCAGTTTTGACTTTAGACTGGCCCCCTTTGGGCTCATGGAATCACATACTGCAGAAGAGGCCCTTTGGCCATTGAGTCAGCATTGACAAGTGAGAAACACCTGACCTTCAACTTAATTCCATTTATCAGCACTTGGCCCATAGCCTTGAATGTTATGAAGTGCCAAGTGCTCATCCAGGTGCTTTGTAAAGGATGTGAGCCAATTTGCCTCTGCACCCTTCCCAGGCAGCGTGTTCCCAATCATCATCAACCTCTGGGTAAAAATGTTTTTCCTCACATTCCCCCTAAACCTGTGGCCCCTCATCTTGAACCTGGCTCTGGAGAAAGTCTTCCCCTTTCTCTCTCTCTCCTGATTCTGCCTCTTTGTTTGCCATTGTCTGACATGCGCATGGTCTGACTGGTAATTTATGCCCATTTTCATTGAATTTCAACTGAAAGCTTAGCCTCAGCTTGCATCTCTGCCCTGATGTACATGAAGTGTCCTTCTAATGTTGAATTATGTAACCAGATCTTTTTATACATAGATATTATGAGAAGCCTAAATAATATTGAGGTGTATTACTGACCTCAGAATAATGACAGATACCACTGTACTACTAAAATAAATGACAAACTTCGTATTGAAATACTGCTATCTGGTTCTGTATATGACACGTACTGTGGTATTACCTCTTTGTTTTGCAGATGCTATGATCAAGCAGAGGAAGATGGCCTCCCTGACATTCTGGCCAAGTGTATGGAGCTGTTTTGTTCTGAGGCCATGTTCCTGCTTCTGTCCAATTTTACTGGCTTAAAACTGCATTTCCTCGCAGCTTCCGATAATGATGCAGATGAGCAGGAGGGTGATGTGGAGGAGCATGACGGCCGTGAGCACACATGCTCCAGCACTGAGGAAAGATACAAATGTGATTCATCAGAACATAAAGGTGGGAAAAAAGAAGGAAAAAAGGCTAAGACGAAGGAAATTGATGTTCTGGGAGAGAGTTCCAAAAGTAAGCTTCACTGAAAAACGTTCTAAAGTCTACTGGGTGAATGATTGATATTAGAGGAGCAGAATTAAAATATGAAGCCATTTGTAAATGAGATCAATAAAATCATTATGTTAAATTTCTGCTTACACAAGTAGAAGTCTGAATGTGACACTGGATGGTTTAATATACATTTGATACGGTGTTCCGGTGACCTAAATGCCATGTCCTGGTGTAGCATTGAATGGTAAAGATCTGTCCTTAGACCTGTGTTTATAAAGCTGGTGAGGCTGTTCTGGGCATTGAGGAAAAATTAAGCTGACTTGCCTTTCAGGAAGCAGACAAAATTGGGCACAACAGTAATTTTCCATTCGTGTCCTGTGTTACTCACCACTGACTGTTATGTATCCGACACCTGTCCTGGAACTCTTTCTAATAGCATTGTGGGTGTAGTCACACTGGATGGATTGCACCAATTCAGGAGGGTGGCTCACCTCCTGATTCTCAAAGGTAATTACAGATGAACAGGAAATATTGGCCTTGCCAGTGTTGCTCGCAGACTATGAAATAATTTTTAAACAGTCTTTTCATGGGCAAGTTTAATATTGATGCTAATGTTTCAGATATCAATCTATGATTAGATGAGGTCATGGTGCATGCAGGTACTTCTTTGGTGCTGGTCTCTGACTGAAGTGAAAATTAGTGAAATTTTGAGATTACGTACACTTGGTTTGATCTCAATTTGCAGACAATGTGAGTGGCTGGCTCAGTGGCCTGAATGGCCTACTCCTCTTCCTATGTTCTGAGGAGGAAAACAGAAGGCATCAAAAAGGGAGCTGATTAGGAAAGATAATAGTGTCAGAGGTGTGCAGATGCTGGTGAGAACCTACCAAGGTGAAATCAATCATGATGTTGAGCAGCTGGGAATATCTCATGGTTTTAATAGCCTAGCAACATCTCGGGAGAATGTTTCTATGAGAAAGTCATGTTCTTTGGCCAAGTTTAGGTATCGTCTTTAGGGTAGGCAGGGGAAGGAGGAGTCGGGGTGCATAGGGAAACTAAACGTACAAAACATGGGAATGTACTATAATTAAAAGTAACAAGTCAAATTAATGTATGGTTTTTCACTATCTTGGAAACAAAGAATTAAAACTCGTGAAGGAACTTGATGTGTTTGTCCTTTTCAGATCCTAGTGTTCCTGTTTGCCGAGGGGAATTACGATACTGGAGAAATGGATACTACACACTTATCCATGATACCAATGTGGAAAATTCAGAGTTTGCTCTCGACTTACTGTTGTACTGTGGATGTGATGGTAGGAACTGATGGTTTCATTCTCCCAAAATCCATTACTAACCCTCTTGTTGAGTTGTGAAGAAACATCTTGTCAATGTGAGAGGCAAAACTAAATTGGCAAAAAAGATAAATGGAAATACAGGATAAAAAATAAACAATAACTTATTCCACTTTTGTAGAGGTCTTGCTGATCCATGTCGATTTAATGTTTCAGTGGACCCATTCTGATGTGTTGCATTTTCTTTTGCTCTAAACTGCATATTTATCTTGGATTGCGTGCGACTGATTAATTGTTACTGTGTGAAAACTTTTGTGAGATGCATTTGTATACATTCCATTTCTTAGTTAACATAGTGAACCTGTGTTGAATCAGAAGCCCTCATCAACGTACTCCATACTGAATATGTGCTGAATAATACTCATGACTTGATGGAAGGGAGAGTATAGCAGACTGTTGGCCATTCTTTCAAGCAGTATATTTTATGTAATTATCATTCTTACTGTTTCACCATCAAATCACCAAACATTGCACAGAAAATAGGTATAATGCAAATTTAGGACTGATGTCAGGAAAACTTCCATTATGCAGAGTAAACAATATATGTCATAGACAATTGGAGATGGAAACTTTAGAATCATTTCTGAAAGAATTGAATGCTGAATCAGGAGTAATTTAGCATCTCTGTAAAGATGAATGAAAATGGGTGAAATGGCCTTCATCACTAAAGAATTGATGGAAGGACAACTGATTGTAAGATTGCATTAAAAAACCACACTGAAAATCTGAAACAAAAAGCAAAAAAAAAGTCAGTTTGATCTGCGGAGTGAAAGACTTTTAACAGGTTGATGATGTTGTGGGTAAATTACCACAAGCTAATTAATTTGGCTATTTGTTAAGAAATTTCACAGACAATTTAATATTGAAACACTTATTCAATTTTATTGCATGTCGCAACCAAAATAAGATCTCTCAAGTAAGCAAATACAACTTTACAACCCAATTGGCTAATACCCAAATAATGGTGAAATGTAGCTAAAATTCCAACCAACCGCATTTGTCTCTGGATATACCCAGGGTTCAGTCGTATGTGGTGTTGTTCCCTGGAGTTTGCTGCTGAAGAATCCTGGAGTTGTATTCTTGTAGTGTTTTCTGTTCTTCAAGTTTATGGTGTGACATATTGATAATCCTTCAGATTCTTTCATCCTCCATATTGACTACTACTCTGGAGCCACAAAGTATGCAGCTTGCCTTCTTATCAGAAGTAGCTTCCCTGTTCCTTGTCACATTTGGCATTGTCTGTGTTTGAAAACACAACTTTCTACAAGGCAATCATTTGTCCTTGCGGAATAAGACTGCCGGTTATTTTTGGCTGGTTACCTCCATTGACGATAGTTATTGGCTGTGCGCAAAGAGGAAAAGAGTCAGATCTGCATTAACTACCACTAACTTTAAAACAGACTACAATTCACACTGTTTTGTTAAGGTTAACAGCAGGCATGCAATTCATACAAGTCTGAAATTCTTGCCCACATCCACTAGGTTTCGCTGACATTCCCTGCACAAAGAATTTAAAGGCTAATACCCAAGAATAGTGTTACGGAGGAGGAATAGCCGAGCCCCTCTGATAATTAAACCAAAACACAAGCCCCAATCTGTTTTATGATGGGAGTGGAGGTTCCCTTTGAATAATTACCCCCAAAACACTGAGAGAAGCCTTTCCCCTCGTAATGTGCTAAAAGATTGGTTAAGAAAGAAGATCCCTGATCTCTACTTTGAGTAACAATTAACAATTTATTTCATCTAACTCTAACAGTGAACAACTAGAATTACTATCAAACCAAACAATTCTTCCCGAAATGCTAATTGTCCTTTAACTGAACTAATCCGGAATAAAACACAATTCTAATGGTATGCTGTTCAAGCAAACACAAGTCCCACTGATATAAACCCAATTAATAGGACAACAATAAATTAAAACTTAATTTCTCTAAATTCACATATATTGTATCTTCTGGAATGCGCTGCCTTCTTGGTTATGCCACAAACACCTTTCTTCTGCTGTCAGATATGATTTTCTCTGTGATTACTTCACTATTACGTCCCCTCAATTTAGGAAGGATGTGGAAGCTTTAGAGAGCGTGCACAGGAGATTTACCAGGATGCTGCCTGGAAGGGAGGGCAGGTGTTATGAGGAAAGGTGAGGGAGCGAGGGCTTTTCTTATTGGAGCGAAGAAAGATGAGAGGTTACTTGATAGATGTGTACAAGATGATGAGGGGCATGGATAGAGTGGATAGCCAGAGACTTTTTTCCCATGGCGGAAAAGACTATCACGAGTGGGCATAATTTTAATGTGATTGGAGGAAGGTATAGGGGAGATTAAAGAGGTAGATTCTTTACACAGAGAGTGGTGGGTGCAAGAAATGCACTGTCAGCGGTGGTAGTAGAGTCAGATACATTAGGGACATTTAAAAGACTCTTGGATAGGCACATGGATGATAGTAAAATGAAGGGTAGGCAGGTTAGTTTGATCTTAGAGTAGATAATAGGTTGGCACAACATGGTGGGCCGAAGTGCCTGTGCTGTGCTGTACTGTTTTATGTTCTGCTCTACTTCTGTGAGGTCTCTTAGCTAGATTCTGTGGTACCTTTTTTAGGATAGATGGTGCTCACTGTAATACATAGATGACTGAGAGAGCCAATTTCTCTCTCTGTCTCAATGACATAAAATTATTTCTTACTTAGGATTGGTTCAATGTTGTTGTTTTGTTTTTGAAGATGTTACTAACAAAATGGATAAAGGAGAGTTGGTGGACATAGTATACATAGATTTTCAGAATGACTTTGCACGTAATGGACTCGCCTGGATTAGAGACTGACTAACAGGCAGAAAACAGAATCAGAATTAATGAATCATTCTTGCAATAGCATACTGTGACTTGTAAGTACAGCAAGGATCAGGACTTGAATCAGCTGTTCTCAGTATGTATTAATGATTTGGAGATTAGGACCAAATGTAATATTTTCCAATTTGGGGCGGATACAAAACTAAGGGGGAATGTGTGTAGTGAAGAAGATGTAAATCAGCTACAGGAGGACTTGGATAGGTTTAGTGAATGGGCAAGACCATGGCAGGTGGAATATAACATGGAAAAATGTGAGGTTATCCACTTTGGTTGGAGAGACAGATTTACAGAGTGTCATTTAAATGGTAAAAGGTTTGAAGGTGTAGACATACAATGGGATCTAGGTATCCTGTCCATAAATTACTGAAGGCTAGCTTGGAGTTGCAGCAATCTATTAGGAAGGCTAATAGAATGTAGGCCAAGCTTGCAAAGACAGTTTGTATATGGGAGTAATGAAGTCTTGCTTCAATTCTGGAGGATCTTGGTGAGACTCCACCTAGAGTATTGTGTGCTGTTTTGGTCTCCATATGCCAGGAGACGTATTATTGCCACAGAGGGAATGCAACAAAAGGTCAGTTGTTCACAGGAAAGGACTGTCCTGTGAAGAAAGATTTGGCAAGATGGGTCTATATTCTCTCGGGTTTTGCAGAACAAGTGGTGATCTCATTGAAGCCTACAAAATACTTAAACGAATGGACAAGGTAGATGCAGGTAAGATGTTTCATTTGTCTGGGGAGTTCAGAACCAGTAAGCACAATTTTAAAAAAAAAAAAAAGAGGAATGCTACTTGGGTCCAAGATGTGGACCCAGAGAATTGTGAATCTTTGGAATTCTTTACCACAGATCACTGTGGAAGCTCAGTGTTTGAGTATGTTTAACATAGGGTTCCTTCGATTTCTGATTACCCATAGGGATGGAATGGTAGAAGGTACTGAAATATTTGATTAGCTGTGATTGTATTGAATGGTGTAGCAAGCTCATTGGGTTCTATGCTTCTTCCTATGTCCTTGGAGGAAAACAAGGCATCAAAAAAGAAGCTGATTAGGAAGGTCACCATGCATCTTTTTCTTTGTTTCAGGCTGGAATGAGGAATTTGGTGGTGTTACTTCATACATCGCTAAGGAAGAAGATGAGGAGGTATGCTGTATGTTTATTGAATTTCAAATCAGCGAAGAAAAAGTAATAACTTATAATTAAATAAGTTTATGATCTCTGGATGCCCTGTAGCCCTTTACAATCAATGTAGTGATTTTTAGTGGAATTGACTGTTATAATGCAGGAAAAATTAGTAACTTATTTGTGCACAGCAGCTTCTAAAAATGGCAGAGACTACAGCCAGATTTAGCAATTTTCATTGAGGCGTAAATATTTACCAGAACTCCATGGAGAACTCTCCTGCTGTTTTTCAAAATATTACAGTGAGGTCTTTTATATGTACCTGGGAAGATAGTCAGAAAACAGCTCCTGTAATGAGCAGTAGACCTTCAGTATTGCATGGATACTTGCCTGGAGTACCCTACATCTCACATGGGAGATGATGGTGAAATGGTGAGATTGATGAAGTTATAAAATAATCTAATAGTAATCCAAGGCAAATGCTAACCTAGGTGATTGGACACCCAAAATAGATTATTTTGTTACCTTGCCCTGTGTACTTGTATGAGAACAAAGAACAGTACAGCACAGAATCAGGCCCTTCAGCTATCCAAGCCTGCGCCGACATATTTTGCCCTTCTATATTAAGACTGTCTTCATTCGGAGGATCTGTATCCCTCTATTCCCTTCCTATTCATGTATTCGACCAGGTGATTCTTGAATGCTGCTATTGTGTCTGCTTCCACCACCACCTCTGGCAGCGTGTTCCAGGCACTCGGCACCCTTTGTGTGAAAAACTAGCCTTGCACATCTCTTTTAAACTCACCCCCTCCTCGCACCTTGAACCTGTGTCGTCCAGTAATTGACCCCTCCATCCTAGGAAAAAGCCTCACACTTTCCACCCTATCCATGCCTTTAATAATCTTATAAACTTTTATTAGGTCGTCCCTCAACCTCCTGCATTCCAGTGAAAACAAACCTCATCTAGCCAACCTTTGTTCACAGCTAAAATCTCCCATACCGGGCAACGTCCAGGTAAACCTTTTCTGTACCCTCTCCAAAGCATCCACATCCTTCTGGTGGTACGGTAACCAGAACTGTGTGCAATATTCTAAGCATGGCCCAACTGAAGTTCTATAAAGCTGCAGCATAATTTGTCTATCCTTGTACTCAATGCCCTTTCCAATGAAGGCAAGCATGCCATAGACATTTTTTTCTACCTTACCTACCTGCGCTGTCACCATCCGTGGACCTGCACACAATACTCTGCATATCAATACTCCTAAGGGTTCTACCATTCACTGTATAATTCCCGCCTGTACTTGACCTTCCAAAATGGATCACCTCGCATTTGTCCGGATTAAATTCCATCTGCCATTTTTCTACCCATGCCTCCAATTGATCTGTATCCTGCTGTATCCTCTGACAATTCTCCTCACTGTCCACAACTCTGCCAATCTTTGTATCATCCACAAACTTACTAATTAGATCAGCCACATTTTCCTCCAAATCATTTATGTAGACCACGAACAGCAGAGGCCCCCCCCCCCGAGCTGTGTTCCCTGTGGAACACCACTCGTCACAACCCTCCATTCTGAAAAACATCCTTACCTGCTACCCTCTGTGTCCTCTGACTAAGCCAGTTCTGTATCCACCTTGCCAGTTCACCCCTGATACCATGCGACTTCACCTTTTGTACCAGTCTGCCATGGGACCTTACTGAAGTCCATGTAGGCAATACAACAGCTTTTCCCTCATCTTCATCACCTCCTCAAAATCTCAATCAAGTTATTGAGGCGTGACCTCCCCGACATAAAACCATGCTCTCTATCACAAATAATAGATTGTATTTGACACAAAATTTTAATAAGCCTAAATAGACTGGTTGCCCAAGTAACACCCAGTATTAGCTAAAGGCAGACCTCTGTGAGCCAAGTTATTCTGCATTTTTCCATTTGCGATGGGAACTGCAATGCAGCTAACGAATGCATAACACAAACAATTGGTGGTGATATACCCGTCCCCTCAAGTGTAGAATGTGGACTTGCATGAAGGACCATACAACATCAGTGGTACGTTTGGGTTGGAGGAGTGGGTGCCCTGAAGTACCCCAAACTCATCCCTGCGCTGTGCTGCAAGATTCTAAATGTTATTATCAGTACATTAGATTTCTAGTTTTAGCTAAATGGCTGAGAATGGAACCATGCCACCGACAGATATAGAAAATGAAGGATTAATACTCCAGTAAGGTGAAGATGCAAAATGTGGAACATCCAGGATGGTCTCAGTGCCCATACCAGCAAGGTACTAACTGTTAGCAAAATATCAAAGGCTGTGAGTTGTCATATGCCTCTCATATTGACCAGAGATGAAGTATAAGAAGGTAGTGAAGAGAAGAGGAAAAGAAGAAATTAAGTGGTAACTCAATTTAAAAACCTTGTTAACGGTTTCTGTTGTATTTCAGTTACTTACCCTTTGCCCAGAAGACAACTCCTTGGCCTTGATCTACCGAGATAAAGAAACACTAAAGTTTGTGAAACACATTAACCAGCGAAGCATCAGTCAGTGCAAGAAGACACATGAGACAAAAGGATTCTGGGACTTTTCCTTTGTGTATTATGAATGATGGCACATCTGCTTTTTCTACCCAATCCTTTGAATCTAATATGAAATAAAGCATCAAAATGATAAATGATATGCCCGAACTGTTCGAGTCTTTTCTGGGATGCGCACCAGTACCTTCTAAGATTAGATATGTGATGGTGGCAGTAAGATCACGACTGCAGTTCTCATGGGCTGACAGTGGCTTTGTTTGTTCATTCGTTAAAAGACTTACTTGGCTTGGCAGAAATTGTTTGAGTCTCAGTTGCCTTATCAATCTGCCATAACAGTAATTAAAATATTCTTGGAGTAGTTGTAATTTGCTAAATTAAAAACATTTCTGTAGTAATTATGACTTAAGCCTTAAATTTCCCTTATCACTCTGCTAATAGCTACTGTTCATGATCATCCATCTTCATTTTGCCAGCTGGAAGCTTCTTGTGGTGGTGTCCTCTAAATTTCAAACACTTTGTAGACTGAATGTGGCAGTAGAGTAATTGCTTGGTCCGACAGGTGTAGATTTTAGTGTGTGCTTGCGTATGTAATTATGGAATAATCCTGAGAGTTATTCTGGTACATTTTCTGGTGTTTCCTTCAGTTAATATTTCTTTTTTCTGAATTTCTTCCATGCCCCTTAGCTGAGACAGAGGATAAGTCATTTATTACTAATCCTCAGTCACTTTTGCTTGGAAGCAGGTTGCTGGAAGGCATGTGAATAGGAAGGCAAGAGTGCTTCTTTGTTTTATTCTGCATTCTATTATGCAGGTTGGTTAGCTCAGTTGGTTGGATGGCTGGTTTGTGATGATGAGTGACAGCAACATTGCAGGTTCAATTCTCATACTGGCTGAGTTTACCATGAGGATCTTGACTTCTCAACCTCTCCCTCACTTGAGATGTGGTGATTCTCAGGTTAAATCCATCATCTGTCATCTCTTAAATGAAAGAGCAGTCCTGTGGTATTCTGGGACTATGACAACTTTACTTTTTTCACATCAAATATTAGGTATTCATTAAATATAAGTCGATGGTCTCATTCGGGGAGCAGAAAAAATAATTGGCCTGTGTAATAAAAATCTCACCAATGTGTAAGATGATTGACAATTCTGAGGTTGGGAATTCAAATAATTTGTTTGCATCTAACTAGGCTGTAGAAAAAAAGATAATTGCCTGTTCAAGGAGTCTTGTTGTTGCTGCTTGATGCGCAAAATAGTAAAGGTATTCTACTCCTTTCTTGCTTTCGTCCTTTGCAAAAATGAATTATCAAATTAACTATCGATACACACTGAAAACCAGGTTGATATGTAGCTCATGATTGAGAGAGTAGTTTTCTGAGTAGAGATTGTTACAGACCGAGAGTGAGCACAAGACATACTAGTGTTAAATATTTAACAAATATGTTCAAATATTTAAAGTAAGGGTGTTTTCCCCACATTTTGGTCAAAATTTAACCCTCGGCCATCCAACACCTCCAAAACCAAATCATTGTGTTGTTTATTTCCATGATTGAAATATATTTCAAAATATAATTGCTTTTGAGGTGCTTTGCAATGCCTTCAGGATGCTAAACATTGCACACTTTTTGATGTTTTTGCATAACGTTCTATGGACAATATGCTGAAACCCATTTAATTTAGAACTCAATTGGTTAGCTTGATTGGAGGATCATTATGCCTCTCTGAATGTCTACAGGCTAAGATGGACCAATCACTTTTATTTGTATTGACCTTATGAACAGCATGCCTTATGCTTAGAACACCATTTTACACTGTAATGCATCAACCATTGGTTGGGGGATCAACAGTTCCATGCGAGACAAATTTTGGTTTGTGCTTTGAACTAGGAGTTAAATTATAATTGTACAATTTAATTTCACAAATGATTCTTATAGTTAATAACATGATACAATGTTTACACCACCAACTCATGGAATTTGAAGAAAGTACTTAAAGGTTACATTCTTGAACCTACTTCACACCAAAGTTGTTCCTTTCTATGTAATTTTGATGGAAACCAAACCTCCCCTATCATGGCTTTAACTTCAGACTGTGCTGAGACACTGTGATGTAAGAGACATGTTGGGAAACTCGTTTCATTTTCAATGTTGTTTCCTGGACCTGTGTTTTGATTATGTCTGGCTGTTGGTCAGACCATGTTCTTTTTGTCCCCATTATATTATCCAAACCTTTCTTTGGATTTGCCTCCTCCATTTGTTTGTTTTTTTTTTGTTGGCAGAGGAAGATTTGAACATAGTGATGGTTAATTATCCGTGTTGCTGACTGTGATAGACCCTATTGCTGAACACTTGTCTCCATGCTGAAGACAGTGCTACCTGCTACAATTGACTATTGAAAGCAACATGCTGACTGAGCAATGTCTAATAGCCCATCAGAATTATTTGGATATCTTGGTGTTAAACGCAATTTATAGCCCTGGAACATGTCATTTCGTCTACAGATCAATGCTCCACATGTATCTCCTCCCATGAATTCATCTCACTATCATCAGATCCTTCTATTTCCTTCTCCCTCATACTTAAATAGTTTCACGTTAAATACATTATTTAAATAGGTTCAAGTTGTAAGAGTTGCCAACTTTGGTTAGATCTATTCCAGTAGGCTTCGTCATGCAATCTTCAACCACCCCACTAAAAAAGCCTATTTTCCCCTTTTGCAATATTTTTTTAACGGATATACAATATAATGAGGAAACTTGGGAAAGAAACGTCTTTGTCCCCTCAGCCGTCACTTTTGGCAGTATCCAGAAAGTGATTCTTCAATAGTTGCAACACTTCAGAGCAATTTGGGAGAGTTGAGAACTCTCAGGTATTCCCTGTTCGCTTCTGTTACATAGAATGACTGTGGACTGCTTTGTTTAAGAAAGACTTTGATATTGGAAGGCTAAAAAATAGAGGGACATTGGATTGGGATTCCAACATTCTGTCCTAACATACACTCAGGAGACTCTGACAAACTCAACATCACACTCGAATTAGTGCAAAAATTAAGATGAGAAATGCAGTTGCTGGATATTGGAAATGAGTGGAAATTGCAGGGGATACCGGAGACGTCAGTGAGGATCTGGAAAGAAAAGATCAGTTTGATGTTTGCCTTCCTATTTCACCGCTTGGTTTTACTGAGATTAGTTGAAAATTGTTTGCAGACGTTTCATCGTTGGAAATTCTGTAATTGTTAACACTGATTCATTTGATTCATCTTTGAGAGATTTTTGTTCCGGTTAAGTTTCAGTGACATTTTCGTAACGCTTCTTATTGCCGGGCGCGCTTTATATTTCAAGGAACTCGTGATCTTGTATCAAACAACTTTTGTGAAGGCTGAGGCGTGACATAATTAACGATTAAAATCAATAAGTTTAAGACTACTTCAGAATACATTGACACTTGTGGGGCGAGCTGGTCTAGAAGGTGTAAGTATGAGATCCTGAATGCTAAATTTGACAGGTCACTCAGGAGAAAGCTCTTGATCTAGAGAGTGGAGTCATTGAGGCGAATGGAATTGATACATTTTAGAGAAAAACCTATTTAAGTGGACCGAGGCAAATGTAAGTGCATTTTACGTCAATAGGTTTGGAAGGTTTGGATGGAGCATAAACACGTGGATTGGTTCGCCTGGATGACCATGCTTCTGGTGCTGTACCTTGCACAAGGCACTAAAACAGTGAATGTGAAAGTAGTAAGTCTGAGTAATAACGTCCCGGAACTACCGCTATTGTGGGAATTACTTCCCTTGCAATCAGCAAATCAAACCAATTCTTCTTTGGGCTTACGGTGCGTTGGTGAGAGAGGGAAACGGGTGTGTGTACGCGTTTGATGAAGGGGTTGCTTGGATGTTTTGCGAGGTCTACGTTTAAACCCTCCACCCTGAGATCGCTGGAGGCCAATTGGCAGACGGTGACGTAGCGTTTGCAGGTAAAGTTAGTGGATACATGGGGAAGCGCCAAGTTGGGTGGGGATGGGGGGTATTCTCGTACGTGCGACTTTTGTGAAGCATTAACTGTGAAAGTCTGCTGTTTGGAGGTAGAACAGCCCGGAGCAAATTGGCTGGACAATGCAGTTCGCTCCCGCAACTTTCACAGAACAACCCACAGACACCTATGAACATGACCTTTTGATTTCTGCTTCAGATATAAAATAGAGTTTTCAACGCTTGGTACGAAACGAAACCGCCGTCATTTCTGCTTCCAATATACATCGTGGTCTGTAGACCTTGCTTGCCGACAGAGCATTGAAACCGCAAGATTGCAAGCGTGATAGCGAACGGCTGCACGTCAACTGGGCTTGAGAGAGTGAAGAAACAAAGCGACCGCTCTTGCCCTGCCGTCCCCCTCAAACCAGTTGCTGGTCAGGTACTCAGCTGGGACTGGGCTCCAAATATTACTATGTCCCGTGGACCGCAACTTCACCCTATACTCATCCTGATCCTTTCTTGTACAGGTACGAGTCTTCGATTCAACGATTGCTACATAGAATAAGTTGTAAATTGTACACGCGAAATAATTTATGCATGGGCATGACTTGTATTACTGTTCATGGCTGAAATTGTTACATGTTCTTTATGTACTTTCTAGCACTTCGCAAAAAGGGATTTTCTAAGTATTCATAAATGCCGCTGCTGAGCCCTAGTTGTTTCCTTATTTGCTGCTACAAGTTTTCCACTCGCCGCCGCCCTCCTGTAAATAAACGTTTGGTGTTTTTTGTTTGTTTTCGCAGCAGCGGCCGCTGAAGTGTCTCAATTTCTGAAACCGTCCAATCCGGTCGTAGGACAGACAGTGACTTTTTACTGCTCGTTCCCGCTCTTCCGAGATCCCAAACAAATCACGTTGCACTGGTGGAAAGACGGCGACGGCGAATTCTTGAGCTCGAAACAGAATTCCAGGAGAGAGGAGACGCTGGCGTCTATTATCGCAGAGTGCAGGGTGAACATACTGGAAATGGAACTGGCAAACGTCTGGATGTAAGCGGTGAGCAATCACTCCCAGCAACGTGGAATACACGGCAGTCAGAGGGACAGGAAGGTTGAAATGAGAGGACGGCTGGGAAGGATCATGCAAATAACGGGCAATTTCTCCCTTCGTATC